GACCAGGACTTCGCGACGGACACGCGGTCGCCGTGGTGACGCGACGAGCGTCCGCTGCGTCGCCGCGCGTCCTTGACGACGCGGTGCGACGTCGTCGTTGTCGTCGCCGCCGACGCGAGCATCAGCGCCGCCGCGTCGTCCAGCTTCCACGGCCGCTCGGCCGCATCCGCGGTCACCGCGGCGACGGTCGTCGTCGTCGTCGCCGCGGACGACGACGACGACGCGGTCGGCATGCCGACGGCGTGGAAGCGCTGGTAGTGCTGCTTGAGGTTGCGGTTCTCCGAGAAGCCCTTGTTGCAGACCGCGCAGAAGCACACCTTCACGCCCGTGTGCACGCGCTCGTGACGCAACACCTGGAAGTTTCGGCTGTAGATCTTCGGGCAGTAGCGGCACTTGAACGGGCCACGTCCGCGAGCGCCCGCAAACAGCGGCGCGACGCCAGGGGGCGCTCCTATGGGCGCCGCGCGCGACGACGACGACGACTTCGCGCGGTCGCGCGAAGCTAGGTGGCGTCGCTCGACGGCCGACTGCGCGGCGAACAGCTTCTGGTGATAGCGGAACAGCTCCTTGTACTCCTGCTGCGTCGGCTGCGTCGCCGTCGGCAACGGGAAGTCGGCGCGCGACCGCTTCGGCGACCTCTGCGGGTCTTCGTCGCCGCCGTCGTCGTGGCGACGGTGGTGGTGATGGCGGCGGCGGTGGTGGTCGTGCTTGCGCGAGGAGGCGGAGGCGCCGTGGCGCTGGGGTTCCGTTCCGTGGATCGCGAGAGATGGTTCCGGAATGGAGGCGGAGCGGGGGTCGCCTGGAGGTCGCAGGAAGGTCGCCGGGCGGTCACTGGTCAGACTGCTGACCGAGTAGTCGGCCGCGTGGTGTGTACGCGGCGACTGCTGAGCTGTGCTTCCTACTGACCGCTCATCCCCGCCATGTACCGACCCAACATCCTTAGGAGACTGGTCACCGTTGAGTGACTGGTCAATGTTGGGAGACTGGATATCCTTGGGTGACTGGACATCCTTGGATGACTGGTCACCATTGAGTGACTGGTCAACATTGTTAGACTGGACATCCTTGTCATTCTTTGGAGACTGGTCATTGTTGGGTGACTGGTCATTCTGTGGAGACTGGTCAACATTAAGTGACTGAACATCCTTGGATGACTGACTAACATTGGGAGACTGGTCACCATTGTGTGACTGGAAATTCTTTAGAGACTGGTCAACTTTAGGAGACTGGTCAACTTTAGGAGACTGGTCAACACTAGGAGACTGGCCAACACTAGGAGACTGGCCAACACTAGGAGACTGGTCAACTTTAGGAGACTGGTCAACTTTAGGAGACTGGTCAACACTAGGAGACTGGCCAACACTAGGAGACTGGTCAACTTTAGGAGACTGGTCAACTTTAGGAGACTGGTCAACACTAGGAGACTGGCCAACACTAGGAGACTGGTCAACTTTAGGAGACTGGTCAACTTTAGGAGACTGGTCAACACTAGGAGACTGGCCAACACTAGGAGACTGGTCAACTTTAGGAGACTGGTCAACTTTAGGAGACTGGTCAACACTAGGAGACTGGCCAACACTAGGAGACTGGTCAACTTTAGGAGACTGGTCAACTTTAGGAGACTGGTCAACACTAGGAGACTGGCCAACACTAGGAGACTGGTCAACTTTAGGAGACTGGTCAACTTTAGGAGACTGGTCAACTTTAGGAGACTGATCAACTTTCGGAGACTGGATATACTTGGGACTGTCAACTGACTGATCAACTTTTGGAGACTGGTCGTAATTCGGTGACTGGCCAACTTTCGGAGACTGGACATACTCAGGACACTTAACTGACTGGTCAACTTTCGGAGACTGATCAACTTTCGGAGACTGGATATACTTGGGACTGTCAACTGACTGATCAACTTTTGGAGACTGGTCGTAATTCGGTGACTGGCCAACTTTCGGAGACTGGATATACTTGGGACTGTCAACTGACTGATCAACTTTTGGAGACTGGTCATTCTTCGGAGACTGGTCAACCTTTGGTGACTGGACATCGCTGCAGTTCTGTACCGACTGGTCAGCGGGTACGTCCTGCCCTGCTCCGTCACCGAATGCGTCGGACACACCCCGACGGTTGGCGCCATCTGTAGACGCGGCCGCGAGACTGCACGCCGTCGCCGCTGCCGCCGCAGCAGCAGCAGCCGCCATGCTGCGCGTGGATCGCCGCTGCTCCCGCCCCTGCGAGGAGCAGCCGTGGCGATGACCGTGACGATGACGATGGTAATGCGGCCGATGTTGCGCGCCGTCGTCGGCGGCGTCGGGAGAGGGACAGGGTTTCTTCCGTGCGGGATCTGCACCGGAGGCCTCCCCGCCGTTGCCGCGGGACGCCGGAGCATCGGTGGCGCCCCTGCAGCGCGGGCTCGGCGACGCTGCCCGCTTTCCCCGAGATGCCGCCACCATGACCTCACGCTCGTCATCGCCGTCGCCTCGGGAAACGGACGCCGCAACGGCGACAGACGCAGCAACCGAGGCGCAAGGAGAGGCAGATGCCGCGTTAGCAGCAGACGCCATAGCAGCGGCAGATGCAGTAACAGCGGCAGACGCCTCTGAAGCCATGCCGCGAGGCGCCATGACAGTCACGGCAGACGCCGCGTCGGCGGCAGACGACGAAGCAACGGCGGAAAAAGCAGACGCGATGGTATCAGCAGCCGACGCCATATCGACTGCTGTTCCCACGATGGGGATGGACGCTGCGGCGCCGGCGGCGGAGACTGGGTGTGGAGAGTGGGTCTCCGTAGTAACGCCGGCGGCGGAGACTGGGCGTGGAGAGTGGGTCTCCGTAGTAACGCCGGTGGCGGAGACTGGGCGTGGAGAGTGGGTCTCCGTAGTAACGCCGGCGGCGGAGACTGGGCGTGGAGAGTGGGACTCCGTAGTGACGCCGGCGGCGGAGACTGGGCGTGGAGAGTGGGACTCCGTAGTGACGCCGGCGGTGGAGACTGGGCGTGGAGAGTGGGTCTCCAGTAGTAACGCCGGCGCATGGAGACTGGGCGTGAGAGTGGAAACTCCGTAGTGAAATGACCCGGCGGTGGAGACTGGGCGTTGGAGAGTGGGAACTCCGGTAGTGATGCCGCGGTGGAGATGGGCGTGGAGAGTGGCTCCGTAGTGAGCCGGCGTGTGGGAGACTGGGCGTGAGAAGTGGGCTCCAGTGACGCCGCGGTGGAGACTGGGCGTGAGAGGGACGTACAGGGCAGCTGTGGCGGCAGCGGTGGTGCCGTCGTCCCTGAGACGCCTCCACGCTGTCATCGGCGACGCCGCTCGCTGCTGTCCGCGCTCTCGCTGGGCAATGCGCCGCGGATTCTGAAAAACACCAACAAACGTGCAGCGGTACGCCGTGATGTCATAACGTTACGTGACCCCAGAGTAGCATACAGCTATTGTAGAATGAGTGATGACGATGATCGATGATCGATCGACAAACGACGACGATTATGGATGAATGATGATTAGGATGATAAAAAAACCAACAAGACGAAACGAAGAACAAGAACAAGAAACAAAAAAGAAGAAAAAATATAACAAAGTAAAAAAAAATATAAAAATACGCACGGGCGTAGACGACCGACCGGTCCGTCGCGGCCTGGCGTTGTGTGTTTCGCGCTTACACTTTGATGTGCACGACAGGTGGCTCTGCAGTGTCGCGAGCAGAGCGTGAACATCTTGTCGCACAGGCCGCAGCGCACGCACCGAGCACACGTCCTCCGCTACTCGTGACCATTCGTGCCCTTCATCAAGGTCACGCAGCGGGGCTCTCCGCACGCAGTTGAACCTGGGACGCGGAAGCAAGCGTTCGCTGAGACGCGATTCCGTGTGAGCGAGGGTTCGCTGAGATGCGATTCCGCTCGAGGCCGAGGGTCGCTTGAGGGCGAGGGTTCGCGTAGATACGAGGGATGGCTGAGACGTGATTCGCGTGCGAGTGCACGGGCGTTCAATAAGAACGCGAGGTTTCGCTAAGACGCGATTCGCTCGGAGGCGAGGGTTCAATAAGACGGGCGAGGGTTCGCTGAGCGTCTCCGGACGCATTCGCTCGAGGCGAGGGTTCAATAAACGCGGAGGCGTACTCGCTGAGAATGCGATTCGCGGTCGAGGCGACCCGGGTTCAAATAAAGACGCGAGGCGTTCGCTGAGAACGGCGATTCGCGCTCAAAGGCGAGGTTCAATAAGATGGCGAGGGTTCCGCTGAGAACGGCGAATTCGCTCGAGGCGAGGGTTCGCCAAGACGGCGAGGGTTCGCTGAGACCCCGCCGATTCGCGTCGAGGCGAGGGGTTCATAAGAGCGAGGTTCGCGCTGAGACCGCGATTCGCCTCGAGGCGCAGGGTTCAAAAATAAGAGCGAGGGTTTCCGTGAGCGGCGATTTCGCTCTGAGGCGAGGGTTTGCTGACGATGCGAGGCGTTCGCTGAAGACGCGACTCGCTCGAGGCGAGGGTTCGCTGAGGCATGCGAGGGTAGCGTGGTAGGAGCTGAGCACCAGGACGATTTCGCTCGCGTGAGGCGGAGGTTCACAATAAGGATCGGGCGAGGGTTCGCTGAGACGCGATTCGCTCAAGGCGAGGGTTTGCTGAGACACAATTCGCTCTTTGCGTAGTGGCAATTTTTCGCAGAAGTACATCGACTATTAGTTACGCCGATTTCATTTTAAATTCGAAATATCTATCGATCTTTTATCATGCACATATCTTCTGACTTTGCGCGAGAACTTTGCGGAATCCGACATCGTTCCCCAATTATTTATCAATAAAATGATAATTTAAACGATTAAATTCACGATTTTAATCTTATTATATGTTATCGGCGTGCGTCCACTTGCCCAATTACGACACAACAGACACTCCAGCTTTGTACAGAAATGGCAAAGACCTCACTTTAGATAATTAAACTGATAATTTCAGGCCAACGATTAATTACGATTAAACAACGAGGAAAATATTAATTATAAATTTTTGAATATATTAAATCATCTATAACGACCATAGACGACACACATAAATACAAACTTTTACGTGTAAATATAAAAGTAATACTTCAAAAACTTTTTAAAGTGGGAATATTTTTTTTGGAATCAAAATAGCGTTCGGTGCAAGCGCGGCAAAATGGAGTCCGCCTTGTGAAGCGAGATTTACAAACCTGCTCGTTAAATACCTAAATTTCTGCGCAGGAAGGCTGCCGGAGTCGTCGCCATCGATGCTCACATCAAACTCGCGCGCGAGCCGCCCCACCTCCTCCTCCGCCACCGCCGCCTCCGCCGCCACCGGCATCCCGCACCGGCCACCGAGTGGCACAACCTGCGCGTTCTCCGCCGCTGCAGGCAGCGCCACCTGTGCTCGCATTCTCTCCACCACCTCCTCGATCTGTCTCTTGCACGTCGCCGCCGGTCGAGCCGCCATCTTGTCCGCGACGGCGACGCCCTCGCCGGCGGCGCCCCCTGTTGATGACGATGTGTCGCCGCGGCGACACGCGGAGACGGTCGCGACGACCGTCGGCTCGGCGCCCGACGCCGGCGCCCCCTGCTGGGGCTTGTAATCGACGTGCGTCGTCGGCAGTCGCTCGGCGCTCGGCTGGCTCCCCCTGGAGCCATGCGCGACGCTCGTGTGGTGGCCGAGCGCGGAGACGGTGCGGAACTGACGCGAGCAGGTGGCGCAGCGGTAGTACGGGAACGGACAGAAGCGCGAGAGCGCGCGGCTGCGTCCGTGCGTCACCGTGATGTGGTAGCCCAGTGAACTCTTCCTGTAGAACCTGAGAGAGGGAGAGAGAGAGACGATTAGTGGCGCGGCGGAGACAATAGAACGTGCGATAGATAATAGATAATAGACAATAGAACCCTCCCCATCCCTTCCTCTTTCCTCCTCTCCTCTCCACCTCTCCCCCTCTCCCAACACTCCCACCCTCTCCCCTCTCCCAGCAGCCTCGATTTTGTAGGCACTGCGATGTGTTCGATTTGAGTGGCTAAAAATTACGGAAATTCGTGACGCCCAGCTCCCCCTCTCCATTCTCTCCGACACCTCGCCCCACACTTCCCCACAGCTCTCACCACACCTCCCCACAAACCCCCCGACATGCGCAGAATTGCACTTTGTAGATGGTGACGGATCGTTGATGAAGTTACCCTTCCTGCCTCCCTGCCCCCTCATTCGCTGCACCTTCTCATCCTCCTGCACCAGCCCCTCTCCCCTACTCCCCCTCTCCCAACACTCCTACCCTCTCCCCCCTCCCACACCTCCCTCAACTCACCGGCACGCGCAGAAGGTTGCACTTGTAGATGCGTGGACGAATGGCATGTCGATGAAAAGTTCCTTCCCTCGCTGCCCCTCTCCCCTCCCTGCATCGACCCGCCTCTCCAACCCTCTCCCAACACTCCCACCCTCTCTCCTCCATCTCCCCCTCTCCCCCCCTCCCCTCCTCAACTCACCAGCGTGCACAAGAAGTTGCATTTGTAGAGCGTGACCGGATCGTGTCGAGAAGTTACTCTTCCCTCCGCCCCCTCCCCCCTCTTCTTGCAGCCCTCTCCCCCCTCATCCCCACCTCCCCCCTCTCCCACACCTCCCCTCAACTCACCGCGCGACGCAGAAGTGCACTTGTAGAAATGCGTGACGGATCGTATCGAAAGAAGTTACCTCCCTCCTGCCCCCTCCCCCCCTCTTCCTGCACCCTGTCTTCCCCTTATCTCCCCACGCGTCTCCCCCCTTTCCCCACCTCTCCCCTGCTCCCCACACCTCCCTCAACTACGCACTCACCGGCGCGCGCAAGAAGTTGGCACTTGTAGATGCGTGACGGATCGTTCGAGAAAGGTTCGACGCCGTGCACGTTGGTGAGGTGCAGCCGAGGCTGTTGCGGCGACTTGCAGCGGTAAGTGCCCGCAACAAGGCTGCACCGGGAAGCGGCGCTCGTTGGTGTGCACGAGCAGTGGGCGCGTCAATCGCTCGCTCAGCCGAGAATCTGCCGCTAGACAGAGCGGCACAATGCGCCGCGCGACGTAACCTCGGGGCTGCGCTGGGCATGCAGGTCCCGCACGACCGACAGCCTTTCGTCGCCGAGCCGACGTCGAATGGGGGGAGACCCCCCGCCGAGACAAGCCCCCCCGATGGGCGAATTGCGAGCCGGTCACCTAGGGAGACGGGTGGATGTGGATTAATCCACCGCGATCTGCGGGGGACGCGTGCCGTCGTGAGAGGGAAGAGGAAGGAGGGAAGGACATGGAGAGAGGTGGAGATGAGGGTGAGGGACGGAGGGAAGTAGGAGGCGGAGAGCTGGCTAGCAGGGAGGAGAGATGGCACATAGAGAGAGGTGGAGAACAGAGAGGAGGGAGGCATGGAGGGAGGCAGAGAGCGGGAGAAGGAGGAGCGCCGCCACGCTGAGCAGCGTTCACGTACCTTCGATATGGAGATGTTGGGGCCTGCTCCGGCATTAGCGGTGTGCTTTCACTCCTTCTCCTCCTCCTCTCCTCCTCCTGTTCTCCCCCGCCTACCGTGTTAGCCAGCGGCTCCCCCTCCTCGCCGCGTGCAGGCCGCCACGCCGCCAGCGTTCAAACGTAGAGCATGCTCGGCCAGATGCCTCCGCGCTCTCCCTCCAGCTTCACGACGACGCACGGCATACGCGCTCGCCGCGGCGCAACTCGTCGTCGTGCCTCGTCCTCGTCCTCGTCGTTGCGGCGGCGATGGATGGCAGCGATCTTCCGCCGCTTCCACACGCACCAGCTCTTCGTAGACGGCGACGCGGCTCCTGCATTGACCCTGCCCGACACAGAGTCACGGGGTCCAAGAAGCTCACGGGGCCCCCGCCCCCCCCCCCCCCCCCCACCCCCTCAAGAGGTCCACGGGGGTTGATCGAGAACGAGCGACATGGGTTTGGAAGCTCTCGCACATCTAACGCCCCACGCAGGGGGCGGGTGGTG